AACCCAGTGAGGTGGAGGTTGCAGTGGGCTGATGATCGTGCCCCACTGTACTCAGCCCGAGTGACAGAAGCAGGACTCCGCTCAAAAAAAAAAAAAAAAAAAAAAAAAAAACAAGACGAGAAAATAAAAAAGATAATGGCTGGAAAACAATGTCAATGTGCAAGCGAAATCTGGCCACACACTAAGAAAGGTTCTGACTACTTTAAAGGATTAAAAACAGTAACAAAGAACATGTAACAGAGACTGTGTCACCTGCAAGCCCAAAGTATTGACTACCTGACCCTTCCTAGGATAAGGAATGCTGCCATCACCACACGTGGCGCCAGGTACGGGAGTTGGGGATGCAGCTTCTCCGGGCACTCAGTGACACACACACACAGGGACGGGGGCCTCAGGGGCTTTCTTGGCAGCAGGTGGCAGACAGGCTCTTCCCCTCGCTCTCATCAAGAGCAGCTCCACGTTATGGGTTTTATACAGCGGGACTCTGCGGGAGATTCCACTTTTAGAAAGTGTCCTTTTCCTTAAAGTTTATAACTGGTCGGGCGCAGTGGATCAAGCCTGTAATCCTAGCACTTTGGGAGGCCGAGGCAAGAGCATCACTTGAGCTCAGGAGTTTGAAACCAGCCTGGGCAACATAGTGAGACCTCATCTCTCTGTGTACAACAATTGTTATTTGAAAAGCTTCTCAGAAAGGTAAAACTATTCTTAGTTTGCAGATTGTATAGACACAGGTGGCAGGCCATACTTGACCTACAGGCTGGACTCCTGGGTGAGATAAATCGATTCACTTTCTACATGGTTGGGGGCAAAAATACCAAAAGAAGACTATTTCATGACATGTGAAATCCCAATTTCCAGCATTAAGTCTTACTGGCACACAGCCAGCTCCCTGATTTACGCCGTCCGTGGCTGCTCCCGTGTTGCGATGGCAGAGCTGAGAGGCTGTGGCAGAGATGGTGCTTGGCACACTGCCAAAGTTGGCCCCCAGAGTGAGGACTTGAGTTGCCCTCTTGGCCTGCAATGCCTCCAATATTCACCTGGCCCCTTACAGCAAGTTTACCCGCCCTAGACCTGGCCCAACTCCTAGCCCAGAGACTTTTGAATGATGTGGAAACTGAGGCCCAGAACAAAAAAGGACTTCCCAGGTTCTCACAGAGCATTCGTGACAGGGCAGAGGTCTCTTCTGAGTGTTCTAGCAGAGGCAGTCAGAGGACAAAGGAAAAAGGGAATGAGATAGAATGCAGGAGAGACGACAGTGGCCCGTGACCTGGTGGACATCACTCCCACACCAAGGGGTGCAAAGGGCTGTGTGTTAAACCAGGAGGCAGACAGCTTCTAAACCCAAGTGACTGTGGTCCCCATAAGAGGTGGCTGGCTTCTTGTGTTTCGGTGGGTGCTATTGTAAGCAATATTGGCTCTGCTTATTTCAGTGAAGCTTACAATACCACGTCGCTCTGACTTCTAACTGACCCCATCTTGCCCCTCCCTCGGCAGAGCCTTCTAGTCCTGGGTTTTCACAGCTGCAAACTGCAGGTGCTCACCTGTCAAAGGGAGTCTCCAAAACAAACGTGGGAAATAAAATCCTGTATCACTTGGGCAAGGGGACTAGTCACCTCGGGTGACCTACCGTGTGTATTCCTCAGATCAAAGTCCCGGGCAGAGGCCAAGCGTGGTGACTCATGCCTGTAATCCCAGCACTTTGGGAGGCTGAGGCGGGTGGGTCACTTGAGGTCAGGAGTTCGAGACCAGCCTGGCGAATATGATGAAACCCCGTCTCTACTAAAAATACAATAATTAGCCAAGCTTGGTGGTGGGTGCCTATAATCCCAGCTACTCGGGAGGCTGAGGCAGGAGAATCGCTTGAACCCAGGAGGCAGAGGTTGCAGTGAGCCAAAATCACGCCACTGCACTCCAGCCCAGATGACAGAGCAAGACTCCGTCTCAAAAAAAACCCAAAAAACAAAGTCTTGGGCAGAAAGAGCAGAAGGTGCCCTCCAAGACCCCAGGTGAGGCTGCAAGGGCCTGGCTGGCAGTCTGGCTCGTGGAAGAGGCACTTACTCAGCTGACTTCCAGAAGTGTCCAGGGTGCGAGAGCCGCCGGTTCAGCTTGGGAAGTTTCTCCAGCATGTCCATCAGCAGGCTGAAGCTGGGTCTCTCCTGCAGGTTGAAAGCCCAGCAGGCCGACAGGATCTCCTGCAAATGGAGCTGCCATCAGCGGTGTGTGAGCTGGCTGGGAGGGAGGGGACACACAGTAGGGGCACTCCACAAAGGGTCCCTTCGATGTTCTCAAGTACCGTCTAGCTGGCGGGCCCCTGAACACCCTGCTGACATGAAGGGGTAAGAAGTAACTGGGTTTCAGAGAACCACTCATGCTTCTGGTTCAACATGGAATGCACCAGGTTACCTCACCTCCTTACTTCTTAGATCCATGCGCACCCCAAAATAAGAGTAACCACGATGAACAGACCAGCAATGGGAAAGAGATGAGAAATGGGGCTGTCGGTTTTTTGAACATGCAAAGTACAAGGTACAATGTTCCCAGGTGAAATGCAAGATGCTCAGAATATGCGCAAGCTGGGGCTGCAGCGGAGGAGGGAGCCTCAGCATTACTAGAACGGCGGCTGGAGTGACAAGGAAGACTCAATATAGGGGCAGCAGCTAAGAGTCAGCAGAACAGCTGTCCCGATCACCCCCAGAGCAAAACCTTTCTTGCTGTGGCATTTTGCTGCCTACTCTGAGGATCCACGTGTGTACCAGCACAGCCCTGCAGCCTTCTGATTCAGAGCTGCCTGTGTGGAAAGGCCTATTTCTTGCACATATGACCAGGCAGAATACATACACCCACACAGACTCAGCAACTCAGGCTTTTGCTCTCAAATACAACTGGACCCCATGGGGTTGCCTGCTGTATCAGGAAAACCAGAGAGAGACAGAAGATAAGCAGATCAAGACACTGTCTCTGGAGGATAGGGCATGTACGTGTGTGTGTACATTTGTATGAAGCAGCTACTCTATCCATAAAATAAGACCAGGCTGCAATAAAAAAGAAATCAACAAATAAGAAAGTGCTTGAAATGAGAATATAATTTCTGAACTGAAACACCGAAAGTGCTGGAAGTTAAAAATCAAGGAAATTCCCCAGACTGTAGGCTCAATTCTAGATAGGGGTGGAAAATACAAAAGAAGGTAAGAGAAATGTAGGCTCACTAAGAGGAACCAAATTCTGTCTAATGGGGATTTCCACAAAAGTAAACAGACTACTGGGCAGGAAATTATCAAAGAAATAATAAAAGAAAATTTACCAGAAGCTGTCAAAGATAGCAGCTGTCTTCAGCTGAAAAGGTCCAATAAAGGGACCTCACTAAAAACAGTCAAAAAAAAAACAAACAAACTCTACCCTCAGATATATGTTTATGAAATTTCCCTATAGCAGGGATAAACAGAAAATCCTAGATGCTTCCAGAAAGAGTAAGACAGGCATCCACAAATGGCTGAGAATCAGACCAACACCAGACTTCTCAGGAAGGCAATGGACACTTAGTAGACAGCAGGGCAAAATCCCTGTGGTCTCAGGGAAAATTATTATGAACCTGGAATTGTACTCCTGATATGACGATGAAATAATAACTTTTTTAGGCATGCAAGGATTCAAAGATTATCTCCCATTCTTCCACTGGGGGGCAGTTTCTTCAGGTTTCACTTGTAGTTTGTTCGTTGGAGTGCAAACAGAGGGCAAGACATGAGACATGAGGAATAGTGCAACTGACCCAGGAGTGAATGAAAAGAAAACAGAAGGGTAACAGCTGTGCAACAGGCCTAACATCCCACTGATTCCAATGACAAGAAACCAGTGGGCTCTGAAAAGAATGGAACGAATTCCACTCAGGAAGCAGAATGCAGAAGCTGAAAGACCTCAGGAACATGAGAAAGGTGTCTGTTTCTTCTCTCGGGAGTAAGAAAAGGCAAGAAGGGGGAAAAAAAGAAAATTAGAAACTACAGGAAAAACCTAAACTACACAAGAAAGCCATGGTCTAAATGTGAAGCCAACAAAATTGTGAGCCTTTGAGTAACTGATGAAGTGGAAGAGATGGACCCACAAAGAAAATGTAATCGCAGTGAACTACCTGACCAGCGGCTAATAGCACTTACAGTCTACTACAGTAGTGTACACACTGTTCATCATCTTCTCACTTTTAGCCTCCATCAATAGGCACAGCATGGAAGATTTAATCATGGCCACCTTAACAATAAGTAATGGAAAACCTGACCTAAGTGGTGCAGCAGAAAGAACAGAGTGCCAGAGTGAAAAGCTGACAGACCCAGATGATGCCTTTGGAGAATGATCTAGGGTGAGGGACTGCTGGTTTTCATTAAGAACCCTCTGGTCTTTTGATGTCTTCCCATGTGCATGGACCCTCAGATACAACGACTAATAACTCACTGGCTGCCTCAGCACATAAAGCAGTGCCTGGTGGTGAACTATACAGCAGTGTGGCTGAAGAGACAGAGAACGGTGCCACTCAGAGGGCACTCCCAGCTTTTGTCTATGACAGAAAATAATTTTATTGCATTGACCAATGTTCCCCTACCCCTAACAGCAATGTGTTAAAAAGGGAAGGCAAGACTGGACAAAAGAAAGGGAACACCTGTGAGCCACAAGCTGCTGCTGGAACATCTGCTCCGTCCCCACTCCCCACGCCCTGAACCCAATCTGGTCTCAAAACAACCATCACCCTGCACTAAAAGAAATCCTTCCAATTAGTTCAGAACTCTAGCTGTGCTCTAGAATGATCTGAGGAGCTTTATTTAAAAATAAAAAATAAAAAAAACTATGATCTTATTCCCATCCCAGGTCAATTAAATTGGTACCTCTGTTGGGGAGGCCTTAACCCTGGCACTTTTATAAATCTCCCGGATGATTCCAACTTGCAGCCAGTGCTGAGCCCTGACTCCCTTGCCGCCCTTTGCTCAGCCCTGCTCCAGCCTTTGCCTCCCTGAAGATGGCACTTACCATTCTCTGCTCCAAGATGCTAAGTATGCAGAAAGGAAACAAACTGTTGCCAGGAGGGCAGAACGAAGAATATCTTTTCTCTCAGACACAACAAACATACATAATACTCTGGTTTATACAAAGATGTCCTTGCTAACTCTATTGTAAAGAGAGGTGAAAACTGGAAAGAATCCCCATGTCTAGTAACTGAAGTAGTTACATTACGGTGCAGCCACAGGACCTAAGGGCAGACAGTCTTAACAATAAGGATTTGTTAATGATTTGAGGTAATGAGCATAACAAAATGTCATGTGGAAAAAGTCACAATAAAAAAAATCAGCTAGGTTTTATGACACGTATGTCTTAAATATTTTTTTAAAAGACTATGCCGGGCGCGGTGGCTCATGCCTGTAATCCCAGCACTTTGGGAGGCTGAGGCAGATGCAGCACTTGAGGCCAGGAGTTCGAGACAAGGCTGGCCAACATGGTGAAACCCCATCTCTACTAAAAATACAAAAATTAGTCTGATGTTTTGGTGCATGCTTGTAATCCCAGCTACTTGGAGACTGAGGTGGGAGATCACTTGAACCCAGGAGGTAGAGGTTGCAGTGAGCCAAGATTGTGCCACTGCACTCCAGCCTGGGCGAAAGAGCAAGACCGCCTCAAAAAAAATTTAAAAAGACTGGAAGGCAGTGGTTACTTCAGCTGCCATCTGAGCTGCCCCAGAGCCCAGCTAAGGAGGCTGCAGCCACAGCCAGGAGCCTAAAACCTGTATCTTGAGCCCACTGACAGTTGCAGGAGGCAGATAAAGAAGGGTCCCTGGAGAATCTCTGTCCCACCCCACAAGTGTTTACACCAGATGTTTTTGTGCAGATGAGGGTCTTGCCTGGGCACACCCACAATAGACTGGAGACCTATATGCACTGGGAGAATAGGGTGGAGCCACCAGGAATTCGCACCTTATACAGGGGGAGGAGCCTGGTCTCTTCAGTTCGTGTATGGTGGCCTGATATGCAATTGTGAGATGGGAGCCTGTTGGGAGGACCCCCTCTTTTTTGTTGAGAGTTTTCTTTTAATGAATTCCACTCTCCTCACCTTTCAATGTGTCCATGTGCCTAATTTCTCCTGGTCATGAGACAAGAACTTGGATTTTAGCTGAGCTAAGGAGCAAAAAATCCTGCATCACCACCACACCCTCCTAAGGTGTCTAAGGATGCACCAAGGTGAAAGTGGTATTTAACTGGCCTTGGCCCAGAAGGAGGCCAAGAAGGACAAGCCTGAGAGTATCAGAGAGGTGATCATCACCCATGGCCCTTGCCCAGCACCCCAAATGAAATGGTATCAACTGGCCAAAGAGCAGCCTGCTGCTAGTGTTGTTAACTAGCATTTTGGTGTTACCTTTGGAGGGGCATCCCTGTACAAATATTTTACACTTCAACAAGATGAAATATACTACTGTGGAATAAAGTAGATCAAATATAATGTCATCTTGAGTGAGCCTTCTGAAGATGCCCTAGCTGCTTGCCACCAGTCGATTGAGAAAAACATTGCAATCTATTAAGATCTTGGAGGAAGATGAGGTTGAATTCATCCCTGTGAATTTGCAGACAGAATCTGCAGACAGACGGTGATCCTGCCAGCAATGTTCATGACCTTAACAAGAAGCTTGCAGCCTGTTTAGATCTTAGCCTGGACAACTGCTGGGTGATCCCTCTGAAGACTTCAATTGTTACGCTGCCCAAATACGGACTGGAGTTGCTTATTAACATCAAGTCTGTTTTGTCCCAATCCTATCTGATTCATGGACACACGGCTATCACTGATGGCACTGAAAACACTGAGCCCTGGAGTTTCTTCATATATCACTGTGCCGGGATAAAGGAAACTGAAAGCTGTCAGAATCAAAATAGAGTCACTAATGTGAAGAAAACTCTGACAAATCGGGCCTGGCAAAGCCATGAAGAAAGGCTTCTTGAGCTTGTATGTCTGATAACAAAAACTATCACTAAAGACTGCAAAAACTGCAACCTTGTATGAAGGCCATGGCAACCTTATACAAAAATACTCCTACAAGGACATCTGCCCCAAACATCCTGTCTAACCCTGGAATGACATCACTCTTGTTAGTGATCTTTGCCGCCAGGGAAAACTATTAAATATTTCAAAATAATTATGTAATCCTCTTCCTTTCTTCCTTTACCTCCCTGAATAAGCAAGCCATTCACCATGGTATGCATATTCCCAGTGCAACGCTCTATTTCTAAATAAACATATTTTGAGAACCTCTCTTATTTAACCTGACAAAACTTACAAACACAGAGAAACCATTAAGGAGAAACCACGCAGAAGTGAGAAGTCAGTAACTATAATTAAGACTTGGTTTTTTGAAAACAAGTTTGCTGTGGAAACTTTGTTCTTAACAGTCAAGAAAAACATGGGGAAAGATTTAATACCACAGCATAACACAACTATTTGTATTTTGAGCAGTGATTTTTTTTAAAAAAACTATCTTCTTTCATGTAAATAATATGGGGCTTTACCTTCATCTCATAAATCAATGAAAACCAATATCTTTAAGAAAAAAAAAAAAGACTGAAAGGAATGAAAAAGGTGAGCAGTGGGGTAAGGATGGATATTTTCTTATTTATGCCTCCCTTATTTATGCACTCCCATTCCTGGGCAGTGCGTATCATTTTCATCTCTAGCTAGACACCTGCAGGTGGCAGAGCTCCTCACTGACCCCATTTCTCAGGTGGGTGAGTGAAGGGTGGCCATGCCACGCGTCCCACCCCACCCTCAGCCCTACTGCCCCACCCAGGGCAGGTGCTACTTACACTGACTTCCTTCCCCAGGCTGACAGAAGCCAGGACACGCTTCATTCCTTCCCCGCTTCCAATCTGCCAGATGGATGCCTCCGCAGCCTGGTTCTTCAAGGGCCAGTCTCTTGCTTGCAGCTCATACCAAACAGTTCTGCGGAGACCCAGCCATGGCCGTGAGCTCCTGGGCCACTCTGCCCAGCTCACACCCAGGGGCTCTTGCAGCCATAGCCCAGCCAGAGGATCACGACCCTTCTCCAACCTTCCTCACCCACTTGGCCACAGGGGGTGCTACAATGGCCTCCTGGAGGCTCCTCCCAGCCCTAGAGGACCTGGGCCCTGTGCTGTTGTGGGGTGGGAAGTCTGAGACAGCGCAGGCTTGACTGGAGCACTGATGGTCATTCTGACCTCAGCACAAATCCAGCTCTGCCACCTTCTAGCTGCAAGATCCCAGTAAAACTACTTCACCTCAGTGGGGCTAATGTCTCTTGTCACAGGGTTGTTTGAGGAGTACTAAAGTGCCAAGCCCAGCACCTGGCACACATGGGTGCTCAGGGAAGGATACAGTTAAAGGTCAAGGAGGAAGGATGGCGCCAAGGCCACCCCACTGGGAAGGATACCCAGAGACAGCACAGGTGACCGGGGTGGTGAGCCTTCCTTGGCCTCTCCACATCCCCTTGGCTTTCTTGACTTGGGATGGGACTTTCTCCATCAGACCCACACTGTCCAGTGTGGGAGCCTCTTGCCCCGGGGGGCTAATGAGTGATTGAAATGTGCACAGTTGAATGGAGGGATGCTCTAGGCAGAAAACACACACCAGACTTAGTAGGAAAAAAGAATATAAAATATCTTATTAATTTGTATATTGATTACATGTTGAAATAATATTTTGGATATATTGAGTTAAATACAATATATAATTTTATAATATATAAACAGCGGAAACTAATTTCACCCATCTCTTTTTTAATGTGGCTATTAGAAAACTTTCTCGGGCTCACATTCCATTGCTACTGGTCTGCACCCAGGTCTTTGTGGGGTAGCACGGCCGGCAGGACACCCAGCTTCCCCAGACTGGGAGGGGCAGTTCTCGGTCAGCTCTGGTGAGCATCCTCCCAGATCAGCGGGGTGGGACTGACAGCCAGTGTTAAGCACTGTACACAATTACCTGATTTAGTCCTCATGAAACGACCTTGTTGGGAGGAGCTATTCCAGAAGGCCAAGGATATGGTCACGCACTCAACAAGCGGCAGAGTCAGGACTCAAGACCAGGTTGATTTTTATTCCAAAGCCTGGGTTTTCAACACCTAAAAGCACGCCTCCCTCTGCCCCCCAATGGCTACTAGGGCCCTCTCTTTTGACCACACTTGGCCTCAGGGCACCAGGGGCCTACTCACCCAAACGCATAGACATCAGCAGCTTTGGAGAACGGCAGCTGATCCTCGTCCTTCCCAGGGGTCATCTCGCGTACGATCTCAGGGGCCAGATAGCACAGCCAGTCGTGGGACAGCTTTAGCTGGTTCTCACGCCTGGAGACCAGGAAGCCGGGACAGGGACACAGACCTTTCAGCAGGCAGCAAAGAGGCCTGCCTGGCACAGGCAGGGCCAGCAGAACACCCATACACAGCTTCCAAAACACACCCAGACCCAGCACGCTGACCCTGCACTTGGGAAAGGCACTGGCGCTTTTGAGGAATTCTACAAAGGAGTCATGCCCGGGTGTTTCTAGAAAAGCAGGGCAAGAATGGATAAATATTGACAGGGAGCTGCTGGTGAAGGTGCCCAGCTCCCTCTGCTGGAGAATGAGGCGCCTCTCTAACCAGGAACCCCGATCTGCCCGTGGATCTCAAACTTGCCTGGGGCTGGCCTTGCAGCCTCGTTGCCATGTTCCCTTTCGGGGTTCCCCCAGATGCGAGGGGAGGGGCCTTTCTCCCTACCAATCCCTTCAAGATCTGGGGAAATAAAATTTGATGCTCTTCCTCATCGTGGGGAAATGAATCCTGATTCCTTGGCCAAGCTGGTGAACAGCCAGGGCAAATGTGAGTGTGGGGACCTGGTTTCCATGGAAGTCAGCCTGAGAACCCACACATGACCCAAATCTGATTCTGAACCAGAACTACAAGGGCAGGACCAAAGCGACCTGGGCTTCCCTGCAGGGAGGGCTGCAGCTCAGCAACAGTGACAGTGCTCAGACCTCATCCCCGCTCTTCCCCACCCATACCCACATCCCACCCAGACACTCAAGACCAACTCACCGTCCCTCTCGGACCACGCCCGAGATCCCAAACAGCCCGAAGTCTGTGATGACCACCTTGCCATTGTCATAGAAGACATTCTTAGATTTGAGATCTTTGTGTACGATGCCCTTGGCATGAAGATATCCCATGCCCTGGAGGACACATCAGGAGGAGTGAAGATGTGCGACGATGACAGAGCTGCCACCCTGGGCTGGATGCTTTACCTAAATCCCCACATTTGATCTTCACAATTCCATGCAGTATATTGTCCCCATTTCACAGAAGAAGAAATCGAGGTTCAGAGAGGGAAAGTCACTTGCCCCAAGCCACACGGCAGTGAAGGAGCAGAGCTGAGATCTGACCCCAGACTGGTCTATGCTCCTTTAATGTTACCATGCTTCTGAACAACCACCTTAAGCTTGGCTAAGGTAGGCGGTATGAACAGGGTGATGGGCAGGGAGCCAGGGGGTCAGGGACAGTGACATTATCCGTGTTCAGTCATAAAGGGCCTAAATGAGCTGGGGTTTTCTGTCAGGATATGCACAGTTGGTCTGTGCTCTCAGGCAGGGCAAGGGCTCAAGGCGGGGGAACAGAGAGGCATTCCCACATTGGGGTCCCCAACTGTGAGTGTTCCTAATATCTGAGCTGTAGCAGAAGGAGCCCTGGACTATAACCGAAATCTGGGGTTTGAACTCCATCTCAGCTCAGATTCTCACTCACTCCGTGGCTGCTCAACTTCTCTGAAGCCTGGTTTCCTCGTCTGTCCAGTGAAAACGTGGCAGTGGTTGATTTCTAACCAATGTTCTATTTGAACTGAACACTGATGAGTCAGGTGCATGGAACGTGGGTGACCTGACACAGGCATGATCTCACCCAAGGTCAAGCTGTCTTCAAACACCAGACCCAGGGCTCCTGGGTACCCCACTGCATGGATTATTGCATTTTTAACCTCACACCAATCCAGAGAGGGAGGATATATGAAGACCCTCATTTTACAGGGGAGAAAACTGAGGCTTAGAGAGGCTAAACAACCTACCCAACGTCACACAACAGTTGTGACCAGGATTGAAACTGTCTCTAAAGCCTGCCAAGTTCCTTCCCAACCAAGTTAATTCCATCAAGCCTAATCATGTGGACAGTCAGCTCCCAGCTCTGAGTGAATGAGACAGAGACAGGGAGGAAGAGACAGGGTCCCCACCCTTGAGAAGCCTGAGCTTCAGTGAGAGGCAAAGCTGCCCAAACCACTCTAACGGGGGTAACAGGGCGAGAGGAACAGCCGGGAGCCCTGGAACTGGCCAGAAACCCAACCCCAGCAGCTGGACTCCCTCTCACCTTGATGATCTCCTGAGCGATTTGCCTCGTCTTGTTGATGTCCAGAGACGTCTTGGGGTCCCTCACAAATGAGTGCAACGTCCGCCCCTTGCAGAAGCTGTCGAGGGTGGTAGGGGTCAAGCACGGGTCTGGGGCTGGTACAGCCTGACCCTATCCCTGGTAGAGCCCATGGGGAGAACCGTGCCCACCTGCCTGCAAGGACTCTCTCCAGCCCCTCGACTGTGAGCCAAATCTTCTTTAACCCAGCCTATTCCTGCTGGGGCCTGGCCTGCACGTGCAGAAACACGTGATGCCACGCACGTACACGTACACAAATCCCCATTCCCTGAGAGCCAGTGCCTGCCCATCCTACAACAGGAAACAGTGCATCAAAGCTCTCAGGAACTCAGAGTAGCCACGCTTGGTGGCTTCAAGGCAGGACCACTCTGATGGGGAAGAACTTAGCTAATCTAAGGCCATCAATAGGCAACATCAAGGCTCCGGGGCTCACTGTCGAGTCTCATTATAGTTTTCGTTTTTTCTTGATCACAGAGTTTTTATTACAATAAAGGAGTCTGCAAGGAGGGAGGGAAAGGGGGTGGGGTAGATGTTAGGGGCGTCAGGGTGACTATTGGAAAAGAAGCCTGAGTTCTGGGGTCTCCACCTGCATCAACTCCTAAAACTCCAGGTGAGGAGGGACCCAGAGAGAATGTGGGTCCAGGGGAGCTATCTTAGGAAGGGACTATGCTTTTAGGAAAATATTCTTGGAGTCTCAGAGCCTTTGAAAACTGGGTGAGGGGTAGAGAATATTGGTTGGTGCTTTCTTTATCTGTGTTCCACTTTCCTTCAGTGTATTCTAAACAAAGTAAGATTTTTTTGTTAACGAATATTTTCCTGTTTCAGGCAGGCCACAGTGACTCATAACTGTAATCCCAGCACTTTGGGAGCCTGAGGTGGGTGGATCACCTCAGGTCAGGAGTTTGAGACCAGCCTGGCCAACATGGTGAAACCTCATCTTTACTGAAAATATAAAAATTAGGCGGGTGTGGTGGCGCACGCCTGTAATCCCAGCTACTTGGGAGGCTGAGGCACAAGAATTGCTTGAGCCTGGGAGGCAGAGGTTGCAGTGAGCCAAGATCACACCACTGCACTCCAGCCTGGGTGACAGAGCAAGACCCTGTCTTGTTTTTCATTAATTAATTACCGATTTTGTTTTTCATTAACTAATTTAATTTTTTTGAGCTGGAGTCTTGTTCTGTAAATAAATTATGGGACCACCAGTGATCAGTTCATGATTATATGACTCTTCCCAACTCTGCTCCACTCCAGGGAGATAATGTTGGTAGTCTGAAATTGACCACGGTGAGAATATTTACACCACAGGAAGTGATGGATGTTACACATCAGGGCTTCCCTCCATACCGCCCCCAAACTGGTTGTTACACATTTACCAGCACACCAGTGAGTTCAGCCTATGTGACGAGGATATTGTGCAGGTGTTTTCTGAGAGTAGACCTCAGACCCACAGTCCAGTACAGGAGGCAAGGTGTGAGCCAGCATGATCTCTCCTTTGTATTTTTACAAAAAGGAAAAAACAGTTTAAAAACGTGAGTATATGCAAATGTCTTCATTTTAACAGAAGGAATGTTAACTGTTTATAGTGTCTCTGACTTTGGGGAGAAGCACTCAGCTGCAGGGGGAGAAGACTGGCTTTCACTCCGTACCTTTTATGGACATTGATTTTCTCTAACCTTAGAATGGTCTCACTCTGTCACCCAGACTGAAGTGCAGTGGCATGATCTTGGCTCGCTGCAGCCTTGACCTCCTGGGCTCAAGCGATCCTCCTGCTTCAGCGTCCCAAGTAGCTGAGAACACAAGCACCTGCCACCAGGCCCAGCTAGGTTTTTTGTATTTTTTGTACAGACAGCGTCTCACTATGTTGCCCAGGCTGGTCTCAAGCTCCTGGGCTCAAGCAATCCTTCCACCTTGGCCTCCCAAAGTGTTGGGATTATAGGTGTGGGCCATTACATCAGCCCATATTTATTTCTTTTTTAGTGTCAATGGGGCTGTGAGTTAGAAGTTATACCCCATTTTTGGTTTTCTTCTTTATGCCTCTATTAAAACTTCCACACCCTCTAGGGCATCCACACAAATGGGGCTCCCGGGGAAGGGGGAGGCTGAGCTGGCCATCCAGCATGAGGTCCTGGGGCTTGGTTACCTGGTGATAATGGCCAGGTGGGGCGGGTTCATGCAGGCCCCCATGAAGAGCACCACGTTCTCGTGCCGCGTCTGCCGGTAGTTCATCACCTCTTTCTTGAAGAGCTTCAGGTGGTCCTGGTTGTGGCCGTCCATCTCCAGCAGGCGAATGGCCACCTCGCCATGCCAGCGGCCGCGGTGCACCCGGCCCCAGCGGCCCTGCCCGATGGGCTCACCCAGCTCTACCTGCTCGAAGGGGATGTCCCACTCCTGCAGGTACACGCTGGTCTGGCTGGCCTTGCGAGAGATGGGGCCCCGCCAGGGCCGGCGAGAGCTTGGCAAGTCGTCCACCTCGTCCTCGTCGTCTTCTGCCTCTGACTTGCCAGCCTCTGGCTCCTCAGCCTGAAAGGAGAGCAGGAAGGAACAGGGATGGGCAGCAGATCTGGGCTCTGCGACATCTCTTCCTTCTCCTGGAGCCCTAGCCAGGTAACAGGGGAGAGAGGCATCCTGCCAGGGGACACAGGTTGTAGCTGCAGCTCTGCACTGGCCTGCTGTGCAGCTCACCTAGCATCATTGGACTTCAACGTCCTCATCCACAGTATGTGGCGGCTGGCCCCCGTGACCTGAGGCCCTTCGTCATGCTAATACTCCAGTACCTACCTGTGAGCAACATCTAATTGTCTAGGGAAGAGCAAGAGCATCCCTGGCATAGAATTTCACTGCATCCATCCTTCCGGAACTCTTGTTTAAACAGAGTTTCTGACTCTCCCCTGGGCAGGAGTAAATCAGTCTGTTAACATTCTCCAAGCCATAATGCAATGGAGAGATCCAGGCTCGGCTGACACTTTTGTTTAAGGGTCAAGGCAATGGTTCTTGACCCTGGCTACAATCACCTGGGGAGCATGGGGAAGGCAAAGCTTGGACAAGCTTGCTCCATTACATTCCTCATCGTTCTTCCCTACCATGCGCCTCTGCAATGGGTGCCTGGGACAGCCCTTGCCAGGGCCCAGCACCCACTCACTCTCAAGCCCCCTGCACACTCTGAGATGGGGAAGGGAGAAACAAGGGAGGGGCGATCTGTGGACACGTGTGTGTCACCCTCACCTCCGCTTCGTGAGCCTCCAACACGTCTGCTTTCGGCTGGTTGTCAAGCCTAAGAGTAAAACAGGGTGTGTCAAGGAGACCTTGCGGGAGGCCGCTCCGCTCTCAGCTGGCGGGGATTCCCGGGAGAGAGCTGAGACAAAGATCCTTACCCTGACTCACACCTGGCTAGGGGAAAGGCCACGTGGATACCGTGGTGACAGGCAAGAGGCTGAGGGCCAGGCCTGCCCGTTGTGCAGCCTCAGCCTTCCCTAGGCTAACTTGAGGGTTGGTGGGGGCTGAGAGGTGGGCAGTGATCCCCAAAGCCCCTTTTCAGATGTGACACTGCTACACAGGGTCTCAGAGCACACCCACAGGACTCAGAATCTGATGGCCTCGACTTGGAGAACCAGCTCTATCGCTTCCTAGCAGTGTGACCTTATGTAATTTCTTAACCTCTCTGCGCTGGTTGTACGTTAAGAATGGCACCTACTTTGAGACCTACCACTGCGCTGAGGGTGAGATGCGGGAATGTGAGTCAAGTGCTCAGCATGGCCTGGTAGAGAAAGGCCTCTGCACAGGAGCTATTCTTAGGCTTCTCTAACTCCAAGTGCCCTCTATCCACCCTCCTGGGTCCCAAGACTGCTCCAGTTTCACAGGCAGCCCCACCCAACGTTGACCGCACTGATAGGAGGCAAATAAAACCCTCTACGGAATTCACTGGCCCAGAGGGTGAATGAGCCCAGGGAGTTCTGCATCTGGCTGGCTGGAAAGGTAGAGTGGGAGGTGGCCAGGGATGTGGATCCAGCCTGAATAATTCCCCAAAGAAGGGAAGGGGACACAGCCTAGGGATGCCTACCGGGTACCGTCGGCAGCTTCAGGGAGCGGGGCTGCCTGTGCAAACGCCGAAATGTCTGGAGGAAACAAAAACCAAATACAAAGCATGAGATCGCTTTCCCCTCCCCAAAGAGACATGGTGCTTGAAACCCAGCACCCCCAGAGAGGTTGATTTTCCCCTGAGTGGGCTGCCACGTGTTCCCCAGGCACTTCCACAAGGACCAGCCTGTGATCTTCCATAAATGTTGCAAGGACGCAGCCTCCACAGCACCTGCTTCTGCATACACAGCTCTGTCTCAGAAAGGGGCTCCGGGCAGGTGGGGAGGCTGAGACTTCTCATTACCACCACTCACCTGTGGCCGGCCAAACTGCCCCACACAAACAAGTGGAAAAAGCAAACTGGGCTCTCATTTACTGGACAGGCTGGCTAAAGCTGCTGTTTGCAAGCAGGGGCTGCTTGCGACAACCCTTGAAAGTAATGAGATGCTCTCACTTCGGCCAGCAAGGCCAGTGACAGGATGTGCAGGTGGCTCATTAGCGACACCTGGTGCCTGGTACAGCTGCTGGGGATTTCCAGCACAAAGGCCCCGACCCCTCGGCTTCCGGTATGGGTCACTGGTAGACCAGCTCTCAGGGGAGAGGAAGAAACGCCACATATCAGGGGCCCAAGAGGGGGCAGCTGGGGCTGATCCCTGAGCCTGGGGTGTTCCCAGTTTTAGTGCTAAAAGTCCCACGTCCAGGGAGACCAGAACTGAAGGCTACTCCAGCATGGAACCAAAGTGCTACAGGGAGATTGGTGGTCCCAGGACTGCCATGGGCCGCTCACTCCCCGCTCTTTTCTGCAAAAAGAGACAGGAAGTGGCAGTGGCTGAAGCTATCAAAGGCCTCTCTCCTGCCTGTGTGGACAAAGACTCTCCCCGTTCAGCCAAAAGACCTCCCTCGACCTTCTTCTAGGGCTTTCTTCTGCCTTTGAAGGTCCTCTGAACCACAGGCTGTCAACATCTCTGGGACCTCACAGACATGGAGAATCTGATAGAGGCCGTGGGCCTTCTTATCAGGGAAATGCACACATGTGCCCAACATCCTGTGCACAATTTCTGGGGGATCAGAACCTTAGAAGCCTCTACTGGTAAGGCCTCCCCTGGACACAGTGTGCCTGCAGACTACCAGCAGGGGCCTGGCATTTCTACCCATCCAACACTGCTCAAATGTTCCACAGAAGGTAAACACACGCCTAAGGCATGAGGGAAGTAGTAAGAGTTGGGGTGTGGTTTGTCCCCAACCCCCAAGTGGGAAGGCAAAATGCTTCTGAAGCCTCATGCTTTTCCTTAAAAGTTAAGAGTGTATCATGCATTCTGCTCCAAAATGTGTCCACGTTTACTTTAATAAAAATGTATTTCCTTGCCCTCCCTGTGACATATCTTCAGGGGAAAATGGACCCTTCTGGGAAAAGACCCACGTCTTCCCAATGTTTTGGGGTAATCCCCTGTGTGCATCCGAGAGCTAGTAACCAGGGAAACCACAACAAAAAACGGGTGTGAAACTGCAGAGGCTGCTCAGCTGTTCAGAGGAAGCCTCCACAAGGCGGGTTCTCAGGGCCCTGACCACTGCCCTGCACACACCTGAGCAACGCCATGCAGGCAGTCCTCTAAGGACTCAGATGCTCCAAGTCAGCCCCCTAATGGAGCTGGCTTAGGGAATAGAAAAGCCTGGAGTAACCAAGATACTGTGACTTCAAGACAGTCCTGTTCAAGACCCAAGAAAAAAACAGCTACAGTCTTTGTTTTAAACACCATTACGCTCATCACCTTCAGTAACAGTAAAAAGCACTGATCTCAAACACTTTAGGGGCAGGAATGAAAAGGTTGGTACACAGTAAGTGTAGAAAACAATTTTTACAGAAGGGACTCAATGTATTGACTTACTGAATTGAAAGTGTTTTCCTTTAAACTTTCTGCAATAAGGAGGCATTTCCAGCAGTGGCCAGCAGATGGCACTGTGTGGTAAGGCACAGAAAGGTGAAGCCCACTGAGTGAAGCCCGCAGACCTTCCCAAATGGGTTTCCACTTCTCTAAGACGTTGTGCATAAGATATCCTCCGGCTATTGCGTAAGGGAGGATATGGTGACAGATGCTCATGAAGCATTAGCAAAAAGTCCTCTCCCCATTCTATAAACCCAGGTTCCAGTCCTGCTTCTACCATCTCCTGGCAGTGTGACCTTGAAAAGGTCGCCTGCAGTCTCTGTGCCAAGAGGCTGGACAGGTCCAGGGTCCCTCCCAGCAAGAACTTCTCACATTAAGAAGCTGACCTCCAGGGCACTTGCCCTGCCCCCTTCCCATCCTCCATGGGAAGTCAGCTCTCAGAACAGGTGGAGGGAGACTCAAGTACCTCCAAAGGCACCCCCAGGGAGAGGGCGCCCAGGTGGGGTGGACAGAAGGGGTCACAGCAAAGGGCAGTTAATGGAACCATGCAAAGGACTCACCTGGAAAGATAAACTGCTGTCTATGATGAATGAAGTAGGCAGCTTTAAACAGAAGAGGAGGTGAGTCACACACACAGAACGGCCAACGCAGGAGGGAGGAGCGGAATTGCAGGTACCGGCTTGGGAGACAGGGACTGGTTATTGGGCTGGGACAGCCCTACCCTAGATGGACCTGGCAAGGACAGGCCAAACCATGCAGGAAGGAGGAAAAGAGCTGGGAGAAAACGGGCCCTGGCAGGAGCCCCCAAGACTAAAGGGGTTTGCACTGGAGGATTGGGCATTCCAAGACCCCATCTCTGGTCACCAGCGCTCTGCGAAATGCATGTGAGCCCAGAAGGGCAAAATACAATGGGAGAGAAACAGTGATTCTGAAAAGTTTAACAGTGTTATGTATGGAAGAATGGCCTCCTCCCCTTGAGCCCCACCTATACCTCCAGAGCGTCTCAACTCTCTCTCTTACAGGGTACTGAAAAGGATACACTGGGGTTCTGGAAGCTGACAGCATGTTCCAACCTCAATTCTGCCACATAACTAGGCTCTGGGACCTTCGGGAGTTGGCTAACCTCTCCAGCTGTCTCACTGTCAAATGGGGGTATAAATACAGTCATGTGCCACAGAACATGTTGCTTTGGTCAACAAGGGACCGCATACACAATGGTGGCCCTGATCATAATGCAGTGGAAAAATTCCTCTTGCCTAGTGATGTGGTAGCTGTGGTAACAGGGGCAGCGCCATGCATTCCTCACGTGTTTGTGGTGACACTGGCAGGAAATAATCCACGGAACTACAAGCTGTATAAAAGGATGGCATGCACAATTATGCACGGTAGCATCTTACTTGATAATGAGAATAAACAACTTCATTACTGGTTTATGTATTTACTATATTGCACTTTTAATCATTTTTAAAAATTTTTAATTAATTAATTTATTTTTTGAGACGGAGTCTTGCTCTGTTGCCCAGGCTGGAATGCGATGGCACAATCTCGGCTCACTGCAACCTCCGTTTCCTGGGTTCAAGTGATTCTCCTGCCTCAGCCCCCCAAATAGCTCGGATTACAGGCGCCCACCACCACGCCTGGCTAATTTTTGTATTTTTAGTAGAGACGGGGTTTCACTATGTTGGCCAGGCTGGTCTTGAACTCCTGATCTCAGGTGATCTGCCCACCTCGGCCTCCCAAAGTGCTGGGATTACAGGCGTGAGCCACCACACCCAGACTTTTAATCTTGATTTTAGATTATACTTGTTCTACTTACCAAAAAAAAAAAAAAGTTATCTGTAATTTAGCCTCAGGCAGTTGCCTCAGGAGGTATCCAGAAGGTGGCACTGTTATCACAGGAGATGCCAGCTCCATGTATGTCACTGCCCCAAAGACCTTCCAGTGGGAGAAGATGTGGAGGTGGAAGAGTGATATTGATGATCCTGACCCTGCACAGGCCTAGGCTAGTGTGTGTGTCTTAGTTAACAAAAGAGTTTAAAAAAAATTAAGAATTTTAAAAATAGAAAAAAGCTTATAAAAATTCAAAGAAAAATGTTCTTGTACAGCTATACAATATGTGTTTTGGGCTAAGTGTTATAACAAAAGACTCCAAATTAAAAAAAAATTAAAGATTATAATGTAAAAAAGTTGTAAGCTAAGGTTAATTTATTATTGAGGAGAATATTTTAAAATAAATTTAGTGTAGCCTAAGCGTATAGTGTTTACAAAGTCTACAGTAGTGTACAGGAATTCCTCACTCACTGACTCATCTAGAGCAGCTTCTAGTCCCCTACAAATAAATACCATTTTATTTACTGATTTATTTATTTAGAGACAGAGTCTTGCTCTGTCACCTGGGCTGGAGTACAGTGGTGCAATCTCAGCTCACTGCAACCTCCACCTCCTGGGTTCAAGCGATTCTCGTGCCTCAGCCTCCTGAGTAGCTGGGACTACAGGTGTGCGCCACCACACTTAGCTAATTTTGTATTTTTAGTAGAGATGGGGTTTTGCCATGTTGGCCAGGCTGGTCTTAAACTCCTGGCCTCAAGTTATCCGCCTACCTCGGCCTCCCAAAATGCTGGAATTACAGGCATGAGGCACTGTGCCCAGCCGTATTTTTAATATTTTGTGCTGTATATTTACTGTAGCTTTTCTGTGTTCAGATATTTCAATACACAAATATTTAGCATTGTGCTGCAATTGCCTACAATATTCAGTACAGTCACATGCTGCATAGGTTTGCAGCCTAGAAGCAATAGGCTACACCACACAGCCGAGACGTGTGGAGGACTATACCATCTGGGTTTATGTAAGTACACTCTATGATGCTCACATTACAATGTAATTGCCAAATGCATCTCTCAGAACATTTCCCTGTTGTGAAGCAGCACGTGACTGTAATCTTTTCCCAGGTTTACCACTGAAGTTTAAGTGCAATGCCCCTGCACAGCACAGAGGAGGGGGACGACAGGAGGCTTGCCTTCTCCAGCTGAACTACAGGGCCAGTGGGGCAGGCAGTGGGGGTTAGGGGGAGGGTTGACCCATTGGTGCTGCCATGACCAAAGAGATAGAGTCTTGAGAGAGTGAGGCCTCTGTGCAGGGGAAAATGAAGGCCCAGTCTAGGGACATCAGGGAAAGCAGCAAGGGTCCAGCTGATTGTGCAAACAGAACTTTTTCTGTGGCTGCCGTGTTTCAAACACACCCTTTCCATTTACAGAAACCCAAACTGGGAGGTTTAGCAAAAGGCACAGTTTCAGAGCATAATAAAGACAGAGCAGAATGGGAGAGGAGGTTAATCAAATGTGCCATCACTCAATGCAGGGAGGGGAGGGGCGTGCTCAGGACGGCGCGTGCATGTCAGGAGATACTCAGCCACGTGCGTACTGAGGTGAAGGCAAAGAGAGAGATTCCTACAAGATCTCTGTCTCCACTGTCCCCAAAAGAAGTCCCAGGAGAAGCTCCCTGGCCTCCTGCTGGCTGGGTAGAGCTCCAGCTGGGGCTCCCCTGGCACAGGGAGAGCTGTGACTGTCCTCATGGACCTGGAGCTCCAGAGGCCAGAGACAGGGGCCTGACCTGGACTCTATTGGCTGGTGACAGCCTGTGGCTGGGTCCAGAGCAAACAGGAGTGTCACAGCCACCTTCCTTCCTCTGGGACTGCAAACTGTAATAAACTGAAGGCTGAGACTGACTCTGAGGAGCGGCCAGAGAGGCTGAGGCAGCAGCTCAGTCCCAAAATGGGCAGGTGGGCTTCACTCTGCTGCTTGGAGAGGCAGACACCCCAGGGCCAGCAGCTGAGGGCAGGAGAGGCTGGAACCCTGACCTCTCCTGACAGACACCAGGCAGTGAGCTGGGGTGGAGCCTGACTGAAGGTCTACTCTGCTGTAAACTCCTGTGGGACTCAGTGTCTTCAGCCACACCATGGGAACAACCTAATTCCAACTTTACATGGTCACCTATCTTATGGAAAGGGAACGAGAGGTCTCCTTGAAGGAGCTTACCCAGATCACGAGTGGGAAGCATCAGGACCCCACCCAGATTCCCTCTCTGAGGCCTTCTAGCTCCCTGCATTGCTGGCCATGCCTCCTGGGAGCTCAGAAGCCAGTCCTGAGAAAGTGAGCACTGCCCAGGAGAGGCCACCCCATGAAGAGGAGGGCAGCGTGGGGATTATGTTGTGTCAGACGGACTTGGGTTTGATCTCCATTCTGCCACTTACAGGCTGTACAACTCATGGCAAGCCCCTCCCTCTCTCTGAACCTCAGTATTCCCATCTGTAAAACAACAGCATCAACATCAGAGCTATTGTGCTTGGGGCGCCTGGCAAGTGCTCCATAAACATCAGCTCTTAGCTGTGACCATGTCTGACCTTGAATCTGCAGACCTTGGGTCTGCTGAGAAGGGGATCTGTCCGCACCCCTGAGAACCCAGAAAAGCCTGGAGATGTGGTACCTGGGAAGTTGAACCTGCTGTCCCGCTGGCCAGGTGAGGGGTTGGGGGGCGTGGTGGCGCTGGATGGGTTGGATGATGTTGGGAAGGGCGCCGGCGAGGAGGGTGTGGAGGAGGTGGTGGAGGAAGGGTTGCTGCTGGAGTCCAGGTGATTCATGGCTGGAGGGTGCTCCTGCAGGACCAGAGATATTGGGAGTGGCAGGGCTGTCCCGGCCCCACCTGCGTCCCACCGGCCACACCCTCCCTTCCCCATTTGGAAAGGAAGCAGTCAGCCCAGGGAATCCTCAGGGTCTGACATTTTACGCACCTAGCATTGGAGGAAGGGCAGCACACAGAGGCCCTCGCCTCAATGCCCACTCCCCAGGGGGCTCCTGCTCAGCTTTCTGATTTCAGCTCAAGCACACTCTTCCCAGAAGCCTTTCCTGCACCCTGGCTGGGACCACGCTCCTCCTCTCCATCCTGGCACAGCTCCCAGCAGTGTTTCATCAGGGCACCGTGTCTACTGCAGACGTCCCAGGCACTTTCCTGACGGAAGACTCTCCCACTACCTTGTGTGTTGCATGAGGCCAGGGTGATCATTACATACTCAGTGACTGGCTCTGAGCTGGGCACACATTAGGATTTTATAGTGAATTAAGTTCAGGTTCTGATAAATGTTATATCATGTCTGCTAAGCACCAGGCACTCTGCCAGACGTAGGGAGACCAATGATAAATGAGAGGCATACAGTCCTTTTCTTTGGAAATCTGGCTGAATCAAAGGCACTGGGAAGTCTTAGAGTCAAAGTACAAAACCCTGAAAGAGGTGATGGCTTGGGCTGGTGCGGTCTGCCATTTTGGAGGGGTAAGAATTCTGGAGCTGGAAAGAACTTTCTAGAAGATGACCACAGGAGTTAGTTTGTCAGGACAGGCCTGGTTCACTCATGTTGTCCCAACTTACATGTTAATGTCATCCCTTCCACACTTAAAGCAAGCACGCTCCCCCTGCTAATGGATCACATGAACCAGTGCTTGCCATGGGAAACACATGTTTGGTGGCCAGTGAGACACCTTTAGGAGACCCTTGGACACAACACAGAGGACGCTGCACCAGGGAGGAGGGGTGCTCTGTTTCCTGTCTTGTTCTGCCTGAGAGAAGGCCTTGGCCTCCTGAGCTGCTATGTCTTTATCGCCTCTCCAACACTGACTCATCACCCATTCAACAGAGTGAGGGCTTCAAGCTCCAAGCCTTAAGCAAGTGTGATAACCAGATGAAGCTTGTAACTTTTTGGTTTTAACTGTGCTTGTTTTAATGATTACCTTCTATCTGTAGGGATCATGGTTTTTCCAATGATGATAGTGATGATTACATAAAAGTGAAGTGTTATTAAGTATTAGCCTAGGTGGTATCCGGTTAAGACAGAAACCATAAAGATGGTTTGCAGCTTTGATGAAGTTTGGGCCGCACTGATTATCAACTCAGTTATCAACTCAATCCACACTACGTGCCACCACAGTCCCACTGTAGAGCTCAGGGAAGCAGGGCCCAAGGAAGCCAAGGGCTTTGCCCACAGTCATGGGAGATGGGCCTGGCATGATCCCAGCTCCAGGATGCCTTCTGGCCATGGCTCCCCAGCCACAGCACGGAGGAGACCCCTGAGAACAGCACCAGCATCTCACAGCTCTGAGCAAGAGCCGGTGGGAGCAAGGACCAGAGAGCCCCGGGGAAGGGAGGGCTGCTGCACTAGAAATGAGAAAAGGTGGGTGAAGGGAGAAAGTAGGAGGCAGGGAGAGAGGCCTAAGCTCCAGCTTCTCCCTGTGGCCAAAAAGAAAGAACACTGGGGTTTGGAGGCAGACAGACTGGAATTCTCGGCCAGCTTCCACCACCACTTAGCTGGGTGACTCTAGGCAACTTCCTTTACCTCTCTGAGCTTCCATTTCCTCAACCACAAAATGAAAACATCAACACCTATGGCAGAGGGTGACTGCGCTGACCAGTAGCATCACAAAGGTGGGAGTGGGTGGTACATAGCAGGTGACCAATACATGCTTGTTCCACATTCTTTTGCAGACCTGCTAGCTAGGAGCACTCAGAAGTTTGGGCCCCAGCAAGGCCAGAAGACCAACAGAGAGAGGGCTCCAGGGGATTCTAAGTTAGGCAGGACCTGGATCTGAAAAGTGCTTCCTGAATGCAAACATCAATTCCCCCGGGGGTGGGAGAGGAATTCCTTGGTTAAAGAAGTTGAGGCCAAGTTGGGTTAAATGCTAAGTTCAACAGGTTTATTTGCTGCATGCCATGAAGGCTCTGGCGTACACAGTGACCTCTGGAATCTACTGGCCAGGGATAGTTGACATCACGTGGCGCCAAGTTAGAAGTGGGAGCTGGATCCACTGAGCCCTCCCTCTTCTCACTCACTCTCCAAGGCTCAGGACCCTCCATCAGTCCCTCTGTGACCCTGGACAAATGACCCAACCTTTAAGAGCCACTGTGTAACATGGGGGTAACACCTGCCGGATCACAGTGTTGTTCAATCATTCAGCAATCAATATGCTGGTTTCCTGACTGCCTATTGTGTGCCTGGTGCCAATGAGAGCAAGACAGCATCACGGGGCCCTCAGGGAGCATCTGTGCTGAAGGGGAATGGGGCGGGCAGGGGTGGAGGGGCAGGTGGTGGGAGAAGAGGTCGAAGACGAACAGGATAAACACACCTCTCGGCACCATGTGTGGCCCCTAGTGAGAACTCAGTGACAGCTCATGTTATCATAGCAACCTTCAGCGGGATCCTGGAGGGCCAACGCTCTCAGAGACGAGAGGTCTTTGGCACCACCGTGTGGGCTTAGAGGCCGAGGAGGTGCACACAGGAGGGGCTCATGAGGGAGGCAGAACAGAGAGAGAGTGCTGTGAGGAGGGCTGAGGGGTGGTGTCCAGGTGGGTGGAGATGCAGGAGTGAACATGATGGGCAGGGGGTCGTGCAGAACGCATAGGGATGGGGGTTATGCTAGGCGTAGCTGGAGAGGAGAGGCAGGGGCAATGATGACATTGTTGGCAATGGGGGCAGGGGGCACGGCATTCCTGCTGAGGAACTGATCCTATCTGTGACGGGCTGGGAAAATAATTACTAGTTGATGGTATGGTACTGCTCCCTACAAGTTCATGAACATTCTCTCTTTACCCTTCAAATACCCTGTGAATGAAGCATTAGGAACCTCAATTTACAAAGCAGAAAGTGAGGCTCAGAGAGGTCAAGTGGCTCACTCAAGGTCATGGAAGCAAGAGAGGAGTTGGGACTCAAAGCCAGGGCTGGGCAGCTGTTGTGGTCTGAATGACTGTGAACTCCCACAGCTCACATGCTGAAACCCTAGCACCCAAGGAGGTGGTACTGGTAGCTGGAGCCTCTGGGAGGTAATTGGGTCATCAGGGCAGAGCCCTCAGGAATGGGACTAGTGCCCTCATGAAAGGGCTCGAGGGAGCTTGCTGGGCCCCTCCACCATGGGAGGATGTGGTACGAGTGACATCTGTGAGAAGGTGGGCCTTCCCAAGACATCGAGTCTGCTGGTACCTTGATCTTCCCAGCCTCCAGAACCATGAGAAACAAATTTCTATTGTTTTTAAGCTACCCAGTCTATGATATTTTGTTATGGTAGCCTGAACAGACTAAGACAGGACCCTATCATCTTTCCCCTCTTCCTCCCCATTCTGGGTGAGAAGCCACCACCAGAGGGAAACGAGAGGCAGGAGAGAGGACAGGTGCAGGCCCATGGCACAGTCAGGCCTGGGACAGCTGGCCTTCTTGTTTGACAGTAAGAGGTGGCCCTGGCTCTCCCAGAGCAGCCCCTGAAGCTGTACCTTTAGGGTCCCCAGTACAAACTGGCCACGTTGCCTGTCTTTTTCTTCCAGCCTGAGCCACATGGCCAGTCACAGCCATGAGGCAACTGGGCACATGCTCCTCATCGGAGGGGCACACGCTAAGCCCCTGCTCTGGGGCTGCAGGTAAAACACACTTAAAAATACACAGCCAAAACCACAGCAGCCAGCAGCCTGCAGCCAGCCAGGATGGGAGCTGCTGTCAGAAGCCATCAGCACTGGTACTTCCCAGATGCCAGGCACACCTGTGCAAAGGGGCCAATGACAGGTATGCCAACCCTCCTGGGGGACACAGGTTTTGCAGACTCTGTCTAGCTGCAGAGGACACCCGTCTGCCTCAGCAGAGAAGCCTGACCTGGCTATGGATGAAAATGCACTGTTTGTATTACTTTTGGGTATTCCTATGAGGGCAGCAGAGCCTTGCTCGGTGGCGGTCATGGCAATTGCTTTAACGAACAACTGAAGGTGTATCTACCGCACTGCGACTAAGGGCCCAGGTTTTGCGGCTGGGTGGCTGCCGAGGCTACCACTCTGGGTTTGTATCTTGCTCTCAGGGGATGCTGTGCTGTTTTCTCACCTGTGACATGGATCAGTATGTACCCTTCAGAACTATTGTGGGGCTCAAATGAAACAGCAATGGAAGTTGTTCCCAGTACACGCTAAACACACAGGAAGTGTTAGCTCAAAGGAGAAGGGACTGGGAATCACGGCTGTACCACCACAACTTAAATGTAAAGCCTCCTAGTGGCTCAAGATATGATTCCCAAGGCCACCCTCTGGCCACAAATCTGAGACTGTGGTGTCACATCCCACTTCCCCACTGAGCCTCTGAGGCACGGGTGCTTTATAGGAAGGACGTCCAGTGGCAGAAGGGGGTCCTCCCCAGCATTACCCAGCGTACCTTCTTTGTCAGTGCTTTGGGAAGGGTTCCAAAATGGGGTTCGGCTGCTCTGTCCACCGGGTTGTTGATGTCCGAGGGGACAGATTCTGTCCTCCGAAGCCGAGTTACTGTTTGAAAAGAGGGAAAACTCATCACCAGGGAACAGGTCAAGCTAAAGATTGATTCACTGAAATCCAGAAGGCAGAGGAGAGGATGGCAGAAAACTCACATGGCAGGAAGGATATTCTACAGGCAGGGGCTTCTTTGGTACATTTGTTGTGACACTTCAACCTGGTAAAGAAGGCGAGGTTAGCGTGCGGAGCGCCACATGCGGGGCTCGGGCACACATGGGTAGCTCTGTGTAGCATTCACTCAGGACTGTCTCCATTTCCACAAACTTCTCAACAAATGTTAGCTCGGAAGTAGAGAACACCATGATATTAATAGTAATAGCAGCTGCTACACTGAGCTGCTATGCTGAGCATTTACCACGTTCTGTGTCATCTACCCATCCTCACAGCAAAGTAGGTCTCGTGATGCCCACTTCGACTTGCCCCAGGTTGCCCACTTATTTTTCTTTTGTAAAGAAAAGGAGACCCTCTACCCATACTGAAAAAACTCAAGACAAATCTGAACTTACCAAAAAAAAAAAAAGACGAATTAGACAGACAGTGTTTGCTTTACCAAAGAATACCAGGGACTCAAAGGGCAGTCCCTCTGGCTACATTTGTGCAATGGAACATGCAGTCTGAGGGTCAGCCCCAGGCTAGGATTGGAAAGAACTGGGTTCTCACTGTGGTCCTGCCTTCTGCACTGAGTCCTAGATTTCTCTCTAATGGGCTGAGGGTGTCCTATCAACCTCATACTGCATCGCAGGACAGCCTGGGCTCAGAGGTCATCCTGTGCTCTCCACATGATGGGAACTAGAGGTCTCTAATGTAAAGCCAAGTGGCCAGGAGCCACAGGAGACCCAGACTAGAGAGAGAAGTCAGCAACTCCCTAGAGGTCAGGAGAGTCGCTGGGAAAGTGATGGGTCCAGCTGATATGCACAAGACCCACCATCTACCGTGTGACTGGAGCCCAGATGCAATCACACACACTAGCTCAGGTTCTCAGAGCCATCCCCATGGTTGATGCATACATTAAAAATCAGGCCCAGAAAGGTCAAGTGCCTTGCCCCAGGTCATACAACAATGCAGGGGCAGAGTGGGCTGGACACCAAACCTCCAAGGCCACCTTGCATTAGGTGAGGGCAGTGGGACAGCAGAGGACACACTCTGCCCAGCCCACACTGTTCCCTATCCTTGCCCTTCCTCCCCACCAGAAACCACAAGGCATGAGAAAATAAAGTTGGACTTGTACAGAATGTATACCCTGCGCTCACTCTCCCCGTCCGCAAGCCAACTCCTTGTTTTTAGCATCGCCTGTCTGCCTCTCGAGGGCTTCAAAATGTAAGGCTAAACTTCAGAACTCCTTACAGGTCCCAGAACAGTCCTCATATTCCTCCGGGCCTTAGTACAAGACCCTCCCATGGCCTGGAATTCTCTTTCCCCTTTGGTCTATCTTGTAAACTTCTATTCATCCTTCAAAGCCCACCTCAAGTATTCCCTTCTTTGCGGAGTAACTTGCTTAATCTCCCTGAAGAGGCCTGATCACTCCCTGGTGTGCTGAATAGGACTATGAATAGCAAGTATAGGGAAGCGTGTTGGAACTCTGATTTACTAAACGAAAAGTGTCTGCTCCTCCCACCCCCACTCCTCTTCCCATCACCTGCAATGCTTGCACTTCACTCCAAATATCATACTCTTCTGGCACACGTGGCAGACCTGCGACAGCCAGGACTTGGTGGAGAACCTGCAGGGGGCAGACACAGGCACATGCTCGCACTGGCTGGGAGGCCAAGGCTCAGACACAGAAGGGTTCCCACGGAGCTCCAGGGCAACTGGGAGTCTTGGCTCCATCCCAGAGCCCCATGGGCCCTCTCCCAGATGCAAAGTCATCACTGTCAATATGCTGAAGTTGGTGTGGTCATCTGGCAGTACCAATTTGGCAGCAGCAATCAAGAGTACAAGTGTGCATACCCTTTGACCCAACAGTTCTTAGGAATTCTTAGGAATTTATCCAACACAAGGCCACAAATGTTGAAAGACACATAGACAAGGTATGCCAGCAGCATGTTAGCAGCATAAAGACGGAAAATAACCTACATGTCCATTGATAGGGGCTATGACTAAAGTATGCTCTTTCCAAACAATGGAACACTATGCAGCAAGAAACTAAAACAAGGACGCTTTTTCTGTGCAAATGGAATGATCTCCAAGTCACATTGTCAAGTTAAAAAAGTAAGGTACAATAAGATACGATCCCATTCACATCAAGTTCAAGTACAGGAAAAAAAACTCAGCTATGACGATAGAAGTGAATACCACTGAATGGTAGCACTGTCAAACTAGGGAGAACTAAAGGTAACTTTCTGGGTGCTGGAATGTTCTTCATCTTCATCTGGATGGTATACACAGGTGTGTACGAATACATACACATACACACACATAGTTGTGCATTTTGCTCTATATAAATTGTATCTCCATTTTTGGAAAAAAGTATAAGATTGTGTATAACATATGCAGTATTTAAGTAAAAAACAAAGGGGAAAACATACATACATATTTGTTTGTATAAAATATCTCTAGAAGACAACACACAGCTAAGACCTCTTTACAGAGGGGACTGAGGAGTTGGGGACAGGAACAAGAGGGCAATTTTCTGTTGACGTTTCAACATATCAGTGTATTTTCAATCCAAAATGTAGAACATTAAAGAAAACACGAAAGATAGAGTTCAAGGAAGGATGGGGGATAAGTGGCTAGTGTCCTCCAGAAAAAAAGCGCAAGGCTGGTCCACAGGGTGGGGAGGCCTAAGAGCAGAAATAACTCATATTTTTGGAAACACAGATTTTTTTTTTAACGTATTGTATATCACAGTAACAACAGAACAAATGCCAACAGCATTTGGGAAGCAGTTTGTAATGCATCCACTAACACTAGCTCATTTGATTCTTATGCCCATGCCAGGGAGCGAGGCAGGTCCAGGATTCTTAGTGTGCAGCCAAGGAAACCAGCTCAGAGAGGTCAGGTGATGTTCCCAAGGTGCCACAGTTGGGATGCTGTGTAACAGGGTCTGGATCCCAGCTCTCTGAACTTAGAGTTACAGAGCTTCTCTGTAAGAAATTCCACTGGTCCAGCAGAGGCCAAAAAAGGCCTTCAGCACAAGGGAAAGAGAAGAGGCTCTGGGGACAAACAGCTGGGTTTGAATTCTGCCTTCTGCTTACTACCGGCTGTAAGATGCCTCAGACGCTTCTGCAAATAGGGTTAACGCTAAGCCTCACAGGATTTGGGAAGGATCACAGATACGCTGTGTAGCAGAGATCCATAAATGTTACTCTCTCTACCCAACAAAGATGGGAGCTTCTGGTGGCAGGGGACACCCAACTGCATGGAGTGCCTTTTAAGGAGTTGCAATCTGGCCTCCTCGAGATGCAACCAGGTCTGTGGAGGCTCACACATACGCACACGTGCTCTCTGTCTCCCTCATTGGGTTTTAATTACTTCTCATGTCAATACTGCAGGTGAGGGGAGCAAGAACCTTAGGGGTGGGGCCCAGGAATCTGGATTTTCAACAGGCTCTACAGCAGACTCTGATGTGCAGCCAGTTTCAGGACTCACGTGACATCTCAACGGATGCAGGGGAAGCTCCTGCAACTCCTTCCCATGACCCTGACCCTATTTCTCCTGGGACCTGTGTCCTGGGAAAGAAGGAAAGTGTTTTCCCTAAGCAGAGTGAGGAAGAGACCCGAGGAGGTGCAGATGACGGAGGTGCAAGTCCATGTGGCCACCCTGGCAAGGCAAGGGTTCCAGGTAAGTGCAGGGCCATGTCCCACAGGTGAAATGGAAATGGACAGACCCGTCAGAGGCAAAGAGCTCGCTGAGAAACAGAGACCAGAACTCCCGGCCCCATGTGGGTTCCAGCCCGGCTCTGTGCCCTGATCCCCCTCCAGGCCCGCTGTGCCTACCTGTGTGTAACCGACAGCCCGATATCCCTCCGTACCATCTGTGGGGATCCATGCGAGAGATCTGCGGGGAAAGAGGCCGGATGGGCAGGCTGAGGAACTCCGCAGGCGACAGCTCGTGCCCGTGACTTCCTAGTTCAGAGACCACAGGCTAGAGGGGGGCGCAATGGTTTATTACATAAGCATCTCCCTGATCTATATCCATCAACACAGGAGCAGGCCAGGCTAGCCCAGTGGCATGGCATGGTTCCCCTCGCCTCGCTTGGTCCTCTAGCTTGCTCCTGGCCTCTGAGGATGGCTCAGTCAGCTGCCTCTGTGATGTTTCTAGCTGAGGAGCAAGGCAGGCTGGAGAGGCAGAAGGCAAAGCCAGAGTGAGGACAGAAGCTTCTATACAGCCCAACCTCTTGCAACCTCTCACCAACACACCACAGGCCCCCAGTGTGCAGGGGCTCGATTCTGGGTACTTCTTCGTAGATGGCTGAAGCTGTCTACTTCAGGTGGAGAGCCGAGGCTAGTCAGCCCATCCAGTGCCTTTCCAGGCAGAAGCCCCTGGAGGATATTCCTCTGGGAGAGGCCACTGCCAGATCTGGGCAGACAGAGCGAGGACAAGGCGAAGCTTTACCACATTCTCACGTGGGCCAGCCCCACCCAGGTATGAGCCTGAGCCTCTGGGGACTTCTTGAGCACCCTCCTTCTCTGCTGAGAGAAAGGCCATACGCTTTGAGGTGCCTCTCCTGCTGGCCTTCCTGGAGGGCGCTCCCTCTCCCAGCCTGGGATTCCCTGTAAGAACAGGCATCCCTAGTGCAGTAGACAAACTGCTGGAAGCACTCTCTCCACCCACCAGCAGCCCGCACATTCAACTCACGCCCCCATACTCAGCGCCATTGCCTCCCAGAGCCAGCCCATGGGTGGGCTTCGGGGATCCGGGAACCCTCTGGACTGGTTCAGTAGAATGCTGTAGGCTTTTCTCTGGAAAGAAGATCTAAGACTTTCATCCAATCATCAAGGTGACCTGTGACCCAGAAAGGTCAGGAACACAGTGCTCTAGTGTGGCCATCTCATGTCCTCTGAGTCAGAAGGTCCCCCAAGGGTGGCCACTGCCCTCCTCAATCCCAAGTGCTGGTCTAGCACAAAGCTGGACTCATGAAGTGCTGGTTCACTTAAGGCCAAGTACCACATAAATAACCTCCATGAGAAGGGCGTGCTGGAGGTACTGAGTCCTCCCACATCAAGGAGAGCTGGATAAGAACAATCTGTCTCACCTGCAGCTCTCCCTGGCACATCTGCCATGAGGCTGACTTGTCCCAACTTCCTCCTGGGGCTCACCCCACCCATCAGCAGCCAAGGCCACCAAAACACATGGGGATGGCTGGGCGCCGTGGCTCACACCTGTAATCCCAGCACTCTGGGAGGCCGAGGCAGGAAGATCACCTGAGGTCAGGAGTTTGAGACCAGTCTGGCCAACATGGTGGAAACCCCGTCTCTATTAAAAATACAAAAATCAGCCAGGTGTGGCAGCGGGCACCTTTAATCCCAGCTACTCGGGAGGCTGAGGCAGGAGAATCACTTGAACCCAGGAGGCAGAGGCTGCAGTGAGCTGAGATTGCACTACTGCACTTCAGCCTGGGTGACAGAGCGAGATTCTGTCTCAAAAGAAAACAAAAATAAAACAAAACAAAAAACACTTGGGGCTAAAGGCGCCAGCTGCCAGCCTAGGAGAAACAGACTATGTTGGAGTTTCAACCAGTTAGCCCCAAAGCCACCTACGATCTGCCCCATCTTCTGTGGGCATGGGCAGTGAGGTGGTATGTGTGCCAGGCACTGCCTTCATCTGATCTGCATGGAGACACTGGCCCTGAAGGCCTAACAATCTCACTGCTCCAGTCCCCGTGTTACCATAGCAATTGGAGGATGGCAGGGCTGGGGCTGTCCTAGAGATGGAGGTGTTGAATGTTCCTCCAAGGTTCTGTGAAGGGCCCTGGCAGTTTCTGCCAGGGCACTAAGGGAGGGAAGTGTAGCTCCTTTCCATGCTCCCCCTGTGCCTCCCTGGGGTTCCTGCAGCCAGCTCCACTTCAGCATAGTTCCTGCATGCTGCACCCCTCCTCATTCCCAAGACCCCGCCCACAGCTACGTGACTCTCCTAGCCAGCTCGGGATAGTACAAAAATAAACTCCTATTTTGCTCAGGCAAAAACCAGACATCTCTGCATTTCCAGACAATTAAAAGCAGACTCCAGAGGCACAGCTGTCTCCCTCCACTCTGACTCATGAGCGAGGCCCCACAGCACAGCCACGTGCAGGAACGTGCTCCCAACCTGGAGGTAGGGGTGGGAAAGGGGGTCAAGGGTTGCCCATGTGTCCTCCCATCCCAAAGGGGCATCTGCACCTCCCATCTTTTGGGGCGTCATTCAGAGTTGTGCTGCATTTCTGCCTCCAGGAATGTCCCTCTCCTGAAGAGTGGGGTCCCGGGACATCAGGTGGGGGTCTGGGGATGGCTAAAGTCCACTGAAACCAGGCAGATGGCACCGCCTTCCCGGGGGCGCTGCTTTACCATGGCAGCCCAGCAGGCCAGAGTCCCTGCTGGAGAGTCTCGGTGGGCAAGGGCAAGGTGGAGACAGGGCTCTTCATGGGGCTGCCCATGGGCCGAGATGCGCTCAAGGTCTCTGCTTCTCAGAGAACAGCTGCCAGCTAGGCTGAAGCCAGCCAGTCACTTTAAGGCCACCTGTCTTAGGGTTATTTCCTGAGGCGGTCACCAGCACCTCTGCTTCTGGACTATGGAGAGGCTGAATGGGCTAAGAGGGGGGTCAAAGAGGTCCACCCCCGATGGCGACAGCAACGCACACACGACTCCCAGGTGGTAGAGGGGATGGAAATGAATCGCTCTTACCAAACCTAGAAGAGACAAAAAGCAGAGAGGGGGATTACGTCACCATGCTGGCTCGGCGCGTTCCTAGAACATTACCTTTGGGCGGGAGCAGGCAAGGGGCTGGGATGCAGGACTTTGAGGCCTGGCTTGAGGCCAGGCTGTGGCTGAGTGACTGTGGGAACCCCTGCAATCTCTGTGGGGACATTTCCTCAATGGAAAGGACTAGAAGGGCATTCCCCGGGCCTCCCCAGGGGACATTGAAACTCAGTGCTATGCACTTTAATACATTAGCTTACATAAGCCTCGCCAGCAACCAAGCATGGTAATTAGAGTTCAGCCCATTTCACAGCCAAGAAAACTGAGCCTCAGGGGGCTGGCTGAGTAGGTCACATGGCTCACAGTGGGAGAGCCTGGCCCAGAGCCAGGCAAGAAAAGGGGGTAAATCAGCTGGAGAGACCAGGCCTGGTGGCTCATGCCCGTAATCCCAGCACTTTGAGAAGCCGACACAAGTGGATCACCTAGGTCAGGAATTCAAGACCAGCCTGGCCAATGTGATGAAACCTTGTGTCTATTAAAAATACAAAAATTAGCCTGGTGTGGTGGCACACGCCTGTAATCCCAGGTACTCGGGAGGCTGAGGCATGAGAATCGCTTGAACCCGGGAGGCGGAGGTTGCAGTGAGCTGAGATTGCACCACTGCACTCCAGCCTCGGCAGCAGAGCGAGACTCCTTCTCAGAAAAAGGAAAAAAAATTATCAGTTGGAGAGGGTGTGGCTGGACAGGAAGGCAGAGATAACAGCCATGCAGAGCAGAGGTAGCCCCTGAAAGGAGAGTCACGCAGGGACACACCCTGAGCGTCCCCAGGGGGCTGCCACTGCCCCCAAGAACACATGGAGCTGGAGGAAACAGAGCACTCAGGGGTCACCAGAACAGCGAGGTGGCCTGAGCGTCACGTCAGTGCTGGTTCTAGTAACTCTGCAGGGACTGGACTCAGAATCCCAGGGTCTGAGGCTCAGTCACTGGCTGGAGTTTGAGGCTAGTTGTATCATCTGCCTGAGGCTGTGTCCCTGCCACCTTCCAGCATGTGAATGACACCAGAGCTTTCCTAATGTTCTTCTTGGGAGAAGACAGAAACAGAGGGACTGGGTTGAGCCCACTGTGAGACGTCCTCTGACCCATGTTCGTGTGGCCATCATCACTGCATTCTACAGCCCCTTCTGGGTGGGACCCAGGCCCCAGCAGGACAGCCCAAGAGGGAACAGCAGGGTCAGTGACACCTGGATCTCTCCTCCTTGGGTGGCACACTCAAACCCATCGGAGCTGTCCAGGCTCCATCCCATAAAGGACCTGAACAGCATGCACTGGGAGAGGGGATCAGGCCCATTCCAAAGACGACTCCAAGGCCCAAGATACACCAGAGCCCAAGGAACCCCCTAGAAAATGGGTGCCCTTGTCGCTTCTTTACCTTTTGGCTAAGATCAAGTGTAGAAAAGTGGTGCCCAGGCTGAGGAGAGAAACCAGGTGCCCCAATCCTCAGGGGTACAAGAAGGTAAGAGGCACCCAAGGAGAACTCTCCCTTTCTTTCTGTGCTGCCCATAAGGGTATAGTGACAAGGGCAATCTTTGTAATAAAAAAGACTATAATCTAATGCCCATCAAGAAGCGGACAAGATAAACTATACAATGAAATAATATGAACAAGTCAAACAAATAGGGTTTAAATAATTATAGACATACACAAAACTGCTAGCCTGGTTGGCTCCTGAAAGGGGAACCACGTGACTGAATACAAATGGTGGGGTAGAGTTTTCACCGCGTACCCTGAGAAGCCACAGAGCTGCTGCACTTTGGATCGTGTGACTGTCTCACTTGTTCAAAATCCATAGATAGAAAAAACTTTTAAGTCAAAAACTAAACAAAAGAGTAAAATATTCCAAGATGTACTGACATGATGTTCCCAGAGATACCAAGGGAAGTTGAAAAAACAAGTCATGGGACAGAGTAGATGGTACGGTATCTGATAGTCACTAGTGGTTTCCACCAAATATTCCAGTTCTCTCCTCCTGGGCGTGTGGGCAAAGAGCACAGTTTCATTCTCCTGTTCAGGTTGGGCCAGGAACGGTGAGTGGAACTTCCAAGAAAGAGTACTCAATTGCCAGGGCATGACATCTGGAACTCACTTTTCCCCCTGCCACCGTGGCCAGCAATGCTCAGACAGTCTGGGCATGGAAGGAGGCTGACCCATGATGGACAAGATGGACAAGGCGGCATGAGCAAGAAACATATCTTTGTTCCTTTAAGACCTGGCAATTTGGGGATATCTGTTATTTCCGTGTAACCCGGCCTACCCTGACCCATACGTGGCATCTCGTCATGTGCACGCACGTGTGCATACAGAACCAAATCTAGAAGGATTCAGGCCACACCGCTGAAGCAGTCTGAGGAATGGACTGAAAGATGGGGGTACCTCTTACTTTTGACTTTACATGCTTCTATAGGGGTTGATTTTATTGGTCCTTCCATGTATCTTTATAATTAGAAAACCACAGAGGGCACTTTTGGTAGCTGCCCAGAAGGAGCACTCACCTCATCGAGGAGACCTCGTCAATGCGGTTCCCCAGCTGAGACTCGTGGGACTTACTCCGGGTGAGCGTGGGGAAGCTGGGCAGTAGCTGGAAGACCTTGCGGCTGGGTGGCGGGGGCGTCCGCGGTGGCTTCAGCTTGGTGTGCCGTCGCAGCTGGGGTGTGGTGGGCGGGGTGATGAAGCTGTGCAGGGCACGCGGGGTCAGCCGGCCACTGGCATGCAGGGGAATACAGGTATCCGAGAGGCCCTCACTGAAGCTGGGGGTGGGGGAGTCTGAGGCAGGCAGAGCTGACACGGAGACGGAGCGTGGGCCCTGGGCACTGTTGCCTGCTCTGCCCAGCTGGGAGCTCCCCAGGGGCCAGGGCAGGCTGGCTGGTGAGAGAGTGTCCGTGGAAGGCCCCGAGCCACTTTCCCGCCGTGCATCCAACGAACTCCAACTGGAGTCCTCCTTATGTTCCCCTCCTGTGGACCAAGACGTGAAGTCACAGATGGTCGGGGCTGGAAGGCATTCACAAGGAGATGGCCAGGAGCCAGAGATGTTCAACACCTGGTGTGAGGCTGCACTGTTTCTTAAGGGAAGGCTTCAACTACCAACCTTTACCTGGTTTATAAAGGCTTCTCACTCATGCGCACACATTATGTAGCCAACCACGAGGACCTCGGTGCAGATACTACCACAGGATGAGCATCCCTAATCTGAAAATCCAAAATCCAAAATGCTCCAAAACTTGGGAATTTCTGAGCATCGACATGACACTCACAGGAAATGCTCATGGGAGCACCCCGGATTTCGGGATGGGGAATGCTAAACAAGTAGGCATAGTGCAAATGCTCCAAAATCTAAAAAAACCCAGAATCTAAAATGCTTCTCATCCTAAGCATTTCAAATAGGGGATACTCAACCTGTATTTCTGTTTCATAGAGAAGGAAGCAGAGCTCAGAGAGGAACTGGCTCGTGCAGGGCTCTTAAGGGCAGGTCTTGGGGGAGCAATCTAGGAAACCCACCCCAAAAGTGGGTGACCTCAGAAACTGAAGGGGTGACCAGTCTTTAGGAGTTAGGAAAGGGAAGCTGGGTGTGTGAAGGAAGGAAAAACTCCACTTTAAGAAAATTCAAACATTGGGACAAGGGGTTGTTCTGAGCATCCAACAGCAAAGTGCCCCAGGGCTTGTGAAAAAAGATCCAGGAAGAAAGGGACCAACAGCCACTTTCTTCTACGCCAGCCTTTGAGTGACTGTGGGCTGTCCCTACCATGACCCTCTGCCTGAGGCCCCTGAGGCTTGTGTGGCTCTGTGGGGCTTGAGCTCCAGCCATTCAAGCACATGCTGGATGCTGGGTGGAAAGGCCTAAAAAGACCCATCCTTGTGCTTGAAGAGTCAAATGGGCGTGACAGGCACATAACACAGTATGTATGCTCTGTGCCAGGACAGAGACACACAGGGGGCTCTGCAGAGGGGCAGACCCTAAATCAGCTGTGGGGGTGGAGAGAGGGAGTGTGCCAGGGAAGGTTTCCCAGAGGAGGTGGCACCTGGGCTGAGTCAACTATGGAAGAAGGTGGAGAAGGAGCACCAGGCAGAGGGAACAACATATGGGAAGGTAAGGGCATATGGCACCTTCTGGTCACTACAAAGGGTTTTGTGTGCTGTCAGAGGTAAGGACAAGCTGGGGAGAGGCAAGGGATGAAGTTGGAGGGGTCAGCCCAGTGGGGCCAGATCAGGAAGGGCCTTGAATGTCTTGCTAAGAACTTTAAATCTCATACTGAATTGTAATCCCAATGTTGGAGGTGGGGGCTGGTGGGAGGTGATTGGATCATGGGCGTGGTTTCTCATGACTGTTTTAGCACCATCCTCTTGGCTTGGTGCTGTTCTCCTGAGAGTGAGTTTAAAAATGTGTAGCACCTCCCTGCCCCCCCTCGCTCTTGCTCTTGCTCCTACCCTGTGTGACGCCTCACTCCCCCTTGCCTTCCGCCATGCCTCGAAGCTTCCCGATGCCGCTCCAGAACCAGAAGCCGCTATGCTTCCTGGAGAGCCTGTAGAACCATGAGCCAAGTAAAGCTCTTTTTAAAATAAATTATCCAGTCCTGCAGATCACCAGGTCAGGAGTTCGAGACCATTCTGGCCAACATGGCAAAACCCCATCTCTACTAAAAATACAAAAATTAACCAGGTGTGGTGGTGCATACTGGCAGTCCCAGCTACTTGGGAGGCTGAGGCACAAGAATCACTTGAACCCGGGAGGCAGAGATTACAGTGAGCCGAGATCATGCCACTGCACTCCAGGCCGTCTCATAAATAAATAAATAAATAAATAACCAACCCAGCCTCAGGTATTTCTTTACAGCCTGCGAGAAGGGACTGATGCACCTGTGTTGCACAAGCCTGCCCTGCCTCCCTCCTCCCTCCGGCAATGCCTGTTCTTCTCCCCAGTGTACAGTGGAGGTCACTGAGACTCGGGGAGGTCACAGACACTGCCCAAGGCCAGACATTTAAGAAAGTGGTGGGATGGGAACTGAAAAGTTCGGTCTCAGCACCATGCTCCCCGCCGCACCCCCTACGATGCTACTGATTCTGAATAACCTACAGCGGAACAGCTGTGGGAGGTAACAAGTTCCCCATCATCAGAGGTGGTCAAACCACTTATCAAGAATGGGGGGAAGAATTAGCCTTCCCAATTCACAAGTTTCTTTGTACATCCCATCCCCTCTTCAAACACCCTTCCTCCCACCTGACTGCAGTGACCTTCCATTCAGGAACCGACCGGACAGGAGCTGCTCAGTCCCTGTGCTCCCATACTACTTGCTCCTTATGAGCTGCAGCCATGACTAACACTGTAGCTCATAGACTGGCCTACTGGAGGCACCAACCAGGTTTCTTGTTGAGCAGATGAAAGAATGAATTTCATGAATCTATGACCAAGCCCGCCACCAAAGGAAACAAGCCCCAAATTTGCAAGTTGCCTATTTAATCACCACTGCTCTTGGGCCCACTTGAGGACGGCCAATGGGTCCTGATATGTGCACTGACACCAGCTGATTGGCAGTGGCTGCTTGAGAATGACACTAGAGTCACCACAGAAGCATCTGTGGGTTAGTGATATCTTCCTCGGGTGAAGGACTGGGAGGATCAGCAGGAATGTTCACCTCCTATTCACCAGCACAGACAACCATCCTTCACTCACTTTTTTTTTTTGGGTGAGACAGGGTCTGGCTCTGTTACCAAAGCTGGAGTGCAGTGGCACGATCTTGGCTCACTGCAACCCCTATCTCCCAGGCTCAAGCCATGCTCCTACCTCAGCTTCCTGAGTAGCTGGGATTACAGGCACACACAACCACTGTTTGCTAATTTTTGTATTTTTTGTAGAGACGGGGTTTTGCCATGTTGCCCAGGGTGGTCTTGAACTACTGAGCTCAAACAATCAGCCTGCCTCCGCCTCCCAAACGCTGAGATTACAGGCCTGGGCCACCATGCCCAGCTGCTCACTCACCTTTCTTTAGACCAGAGATTGCAAAGGAAATGACTTCAACACTTTCTATCACCTCATAGGCCTCACACTGAAAAGAACATCTAATACATGCCAGGCTCTGGTCTGAGGACTTACGTTAACTCATTTCCTCTTCACAACAACCCTGAGAGAGGTGTTGTTATTACTGCCATTTTCCAGATGAGGAAACTGAGGCACAGTGAGGTAAAGTAACTCAGCAAGGTCCCAAAGGTTCTAAGTGGCCAAGCAGAGTGCTGGGCCCAGACAGGGCCCAGGCGGTCTGATTCCATAGCCCATCCGTACTGTGACTAGACTGCTCTCACCAAGCCCCAAGGGGGTGCAATGAAGATGCTGTGATGCATGATCTGATGGGATCACTGGTATCCAGCGGATCCCAGCAGGTGCCTGTGAAGTGCAGCCAGCACTGGGCAGATGAAAGGCCTGTGTCCTGGACTGTGATGGGGCCAGAACTCTGCTGGGACTTAGCTGAGAACTCTCAGAACTTAGCTGAGACTAAATGAGAGAGAAGAAACCTAGAAAATGCTTCTTCTTCAGGGGCCTCCTCTAGGGCCTGCTGGAAAAAGCACCCTCTGAACAAGAAACCTGAGTTCAAAGCCCAGCTCTGCTCCATGCCAGGTGTGAGGCCCCAGATGATTCATCCAACACCTCCAGTGGTCACAGAGGTCTCAGCCACAAAACGAGCTCAGCAACACCTCTTACAACGGTGTGGCCACGATATGTGTGTCACACGCCTGGCACACAGTAGATGCATAAATTAGTGGTCTCCCTCCCTTGGCATCTAGGACAAGTGGACAGCAGCCTTCATGACACAAATGGGTCACTACCACTTAAAAGCTGACTCTTTCACAATTCTTTAATATCCAGACATGAAGAGGAAGGAAAGAAGGGCTGACAAATTACCCCCAAAGATCTCAGCTTGGGTGGCAAGCATGGGGACAAACCAATCGCCATGATAGCCCAAGGTTCAAATCCTGGCTCCGTCACCGACTGCTGTATGCCCTTACCCAAGCCCCTTCCCTCTCTGGGCTCAGTCTCCTCCTGTAATATGTGGGACCAAAAACATCAGCCACATCTCTGTTGTGTTGATTTTCAGCAGCTGCCGGGAGACCTAACAGGTCAAGATTTTCTGAATTGAGTGCAACTTTCTACACTGTGCCATGTTCAGAGGACTTGATACAATGAGGGCAGAGAAGAAATTAAGTCCGATCCTCTCTGGGAAGAAAAAAACCAGGCAGAATACAAACCTCAGTGCCTTCCTTAAGCCTCAGGCAGACGGAGATAAGACAGGGGCCTCAGATAATTAAAAAGCAGGCCTGATTTCATTCATGAGGCATATTTTAATGCCTTATCTATGTGGTAGTGGGAGCATTAAGTCAGGCATTTGAAGCTGTTTCCAAGGCAAGATTTAGAAAGCCTGTGAATAATTCCCAAGGACCTCGTGGCAAGGCCAGGATTACACACTTTGCCTGGGACAGCCACATACAAACTCCCAGCTAAAGAGCCATAGAGTTTCCCTAATCACCCTTGGCTCAGGCCCACATCAGCGTGTGCCTTCTGAGCACAGAACCCAGCCAGCAATGGGGACAGGAGAAGGCGGGGAGAGCGCTGGGGGCTGGAATGTGGGAAGCTGGCAGAGGGTACACAGAGCCCTCCACAGAGAGGAAATCATGCCAGGCCAGCCCAGCAGACAGGCTTGGGATTTCTAAGCATGGCTGAAGCCCCCTCAGATTTGGCCAGGCCAGCCCCAGCAGGACCCAGAGCCCTGAGGACCCTGGGAGAGCTTCTCAGGAGGCTGTGAACATCCAACCCTGGCTTTCCAGGCTGCCCCAGAAACCCTGGGCCACGCTTGCCCCACTCCATCACCCACCATGGTGAAGGCCACAGCCCCCAGGGCACCAGGCCAAGCAAGGGAGAGGGTGGCAGGCCCCACGTACCCAGGCCTGTCACCTTCCGCAGGCAGGTGAGGGCATACTGCAGACGACCACACTCATCCCCGCTGGCCCCGCAGCGCCGCAGCGTCTCCTTCACCTTGGCCTCGTTCATCTCCAGCAGGGCATCCAGCGTGAGGTCGTGGGGGATCTCCTGAGGGGACAGAGGGACAGGCAGAGAGGCGGTGAGCAGTCAGCCGGGCGGGGAGCCCCTCAGCCTCAGGCTGGCCTCCTGCTGAGTGGCAGGGGCCAGCTGCTGGCTGGGCCGGCCTCTGACCAGAGCCACCACGTGCTTGGGGACACAGGCAGAGCTCCCTGGCCCCCACCCTCCAGGCTCCCAGAGACAGCAGCTGAAGCAGACTTGGTGGGGGGTGAGGGGAAGAAGTAAAGACCAGAAAGGTTTGGACGAGGGCATGTTGCCCAGCTTGTTTCTTCTTACTCCTCTGCACAGAAAAAACAAAACAAAATAGTGAATCATAACAACTTTTTAGGATGACGAGTACTTCAGACAAAGATGGCCCTTCACAGTTTTGTTGTATCTGAATCAGACAAGAGAGATTTCAAATCAAACTGGCTTAAGAAAGGAAGGATTTAAAAAAAAAAACCCTCGCCAAACACTGCGGAGGCACTAACTGCCCCACCTGATTTCCGTCAAAACTTTTCACTGGGTCCACTGGACAGCTGGAAAAACGGGCTCAGACAGATTATGTCACCTGCACGAGGTCACTAGGCCACACGGTGAAGAAAGTGGCAGGCAGAATTTCAAGGTGGTCCTGTGACCTTCGTTCTGTGGTGTTGCTCCTGATCATTTTACATTACAGCAGTCTCTCTCTTATCTGCAGTTTCAGTTACCAGCAGCCAACCATGGCCTAAAACTATTGAATGGAAAATGCCAGAAACATTCCAGAAATAAACAATTTATAGTTTTAAACTATGCACCATTCTGAGTAATGTGATGAAATCTTGCGCCATCCAGCTCCGTCCCACCGGAGGTGTGAATTGTCCCTTTGTCCAGCATCTCCACACTGTCTCCACTCCCAGCCTGTTGGTCACTTAGGAGCTGTCTTGGTTATCAGATCAACTGCCACGACCTCTTCCCACACAGGCACTTTATCATCTCACATCATCACAACATGAGGGGTGAGAACAGTACAGAAAGTAAGGTATTTTGAGAGAAAGAAGAGAGACCACATTCCTGTAACTTTCATTATAGTATATTGCTATAATTGCTCTATTTTGTTATTGTTGATTATTAATCTCTTACTGTGCCAACTTACTAACTTTATCAGAGGTATGTATGTATAGCAAAAAACAGTGTATATACACACACACACTCTCTCTCACACACACACACAAACACACACAGTAGTATCCATGGTTTCAGGCATCCACTGAGGGTCCTGGAACATATCCCCTGCAGATAAGGGGGGATTACTATATACAGCAAAAGGGAAATTACCCAAGTAGGCTTCATCCAATCACAAGAGCCCTTTAAAAGCAAAGGGTTCTCTTGAGCTGGTAACAGAGAAGTCAGAGACCTGAAGTGTGAAAAGGACTCAGGAGACTTTGAAGTAGGAGGGGAATGGGGGTGGCCTCTGGGAAAAAGAGTAGCCCCTGGCTCACAGCCATTGAGGGAATGAGGACCTCAGACCTCCAGCCACAAGGAAATGGATTCTGCCAATAACCTGAATGAACGTGAAGTGGATTCTTCCCCAGAACTTCCAGGTAAGAGGAAGGCCTGGCCTACACCGTGACCTCAGCCTTGTGAGATCCCAAGTAGGGATGTAAGCAGAGTCTGCCTGGATTCCTCCACCTAGAGAACCATGAGCTGATAAGCGGGTGGTGTGTTAAGCTGCTAAATTTGTTATGAAGCAATGGAAAATACAAAGAGTGAATGTTTGAATCAAGGCTGAGCGGACTTCAAAACTTGTGCCCTTTCCTCTCTTCAAGGAGGGAGGAAACCTCTCCAGCTCTGACTACTTTGAGCCACATGCCGCTGTCAGACGCATTCGAACCAGAGCCATTCCATCTTGAATAGGGACTGGGTAAAATGAGGGCGAGACCTGCTGCGCTGCATCCCCAGGAAGTCAGCCATTCTTAATCACAGGGTGAGACAGGAGGTCCCAAGAGACAGGTCACAAAGACCCCATGATAAAACAGGATGAGCTAAAGAAGCTGGCCAAAACCCACCAAAACCAAGATGGTGACCAAAGTGAGCTCTGGTCTTCCTCACTGCTCATTATATGCTAATTATAATGCACTAACATGCTAAAAGACACTCCCACCAGCACCATGACAGTTTACAAATGCCATGGCAATGCCCAGAAGTTACCCTATATGGTCTAAAAAGGGGGAGGGGCCCTCAGTTCCAGGAATTGCCTGCCCCTTTCCCAGAAAATTCACAAATAATCTACCCTGGTTTAGCATATGATCAAGAAATAACCATGAAAATAGCCAACTAGCAGAGGGCTGCTCTGTCTACAGAGTTGCCATTCTTTTGTTTCTCCACTTCTCTAATAAACTTGCCTTCACTTTAGTCCATGGACTCACCCAGGATTCTTTTTTGTGCAAGACTCAAGAACCCTCTTTTGGGATCTGGAATGGGACCCCTATCCAGCAACAATACCAAGCCTGGGACAAATATCAAAAACCAATGGGACATGCCTCTGGTCTCAAGTGGCCTGCAGCCAAGTGAGAGGGGTGACAGACTTTTAAACAGGTAACTACAATGCAGTAAGATGCGCACTAGAGCAGGGAGAGCTCAAAGAGCTATGGGACCAGATCAGACTTTTTTTTTTTTTTTTGTCTTTAACCCTTTCTATATTTTCTAGATTTTCTATAACAGAGAAGGTCAGACATTCCACATCAAATGACTGCTATAAAGCTCACAGTTCTTGAGAATCTAAGCCAATTTACAATGATTTTTAGCAAGTTGTGTCTAACTTTACTTTTAAGGACTAATTTCATTGTCATTCCATTTACATGCTGTAATTCTTTGCCTGAAGCGTCAAAACTAACCCTGATGAAGATACTGGCTGAGTCCTAAGGGTATGAGGCCCAGCCCATAACCCTCTCTCCCATAGCATGGCTGGAGCTAGAGGCCTGGCTTTTTGTTTTCGTTTGTTCGCTTTTTCCTGTACCCGCTGATGGCAGATGCTTTTATAGTTTGTTAGTATATTCTTCAATCTTGAGGGCTGTAGGCAAGAATCACATCACCATTTAGAAGGATTCACACCAAAACAAAACCAGACATATAACTGTACCAAGAAGCTCATCACTGGTTGGCCAAAGCCCTGGTTGCCTTCCAGAAGATAAAACTAAAGTGTCACAAGAAACCACTGATGAGAACAGCACCAACAGGGGAGGCAGATTAGACAACTGGTGCCATGCAGAAGCTTCTATTCAATCAACGTGTCTTGCTTTCTTTCCCTTAGCCTGTCTTCCACTGAAATGAGGTTTGGATATCTTTGCCCTCATTTGACTGTGAAGAGCACCTTGGCAATACCGTCAGGGCAAGCACAAAAGCGACCTTCACCTTATCTGAACAAAGCAATCCTCTACTTCTCTGGAAGGGTGTCCTCCGTTTGTTTCTCCACCACATACTCCAAGGCTGTGATGACTCAGTAGTTTCCCCAGAAGATGACAGAGATGTTTAATGGGGGCGGAGAGGGAGCCAGGCCGAGGAAACCCAATCTTCAACCTAACTATAATACAAACAGAGATTCTTTTTCTTTTTATTCCTCTCCTCCTCACCTATACCAAGTTTCAAGTTCTCAAACATAATAACTACATTTATTATTACCAACTATTTGCCAGAACAGTATACCCAGGGCTTTGTATATGTTACTTTATCTTTAATCAACTCAGCAAGTAGATGGAGTTAAGTCCATCTTATTGAGGCTCAGAGACTTCACAGCTTAACAAGTGGCTGGGCAGAATTGAAACCCACATGTGCACGATTCCAAACCTCCTCCAAATATTCCATGCTGTCGCTTGTTAACCTGGCAAAGACTTGGGATACAGCAGCCACCTTTCAGGGGAAATTATTTTTTTCCAAGTAAATTAATTTCTACCTACTTTCAGAAAATAGAAGTGAGGTACAGAAACAGCTGGCTTGGTTACAGCTCCTTTGCCTTGTGTGAACAAGGTTCGAACAGTTGGCTACATTTGATTGGCTAAAACTCGGTGATGGGCACAAGTGTAGTCTACAGTGTTTTTATACCTCCACTTGTTATAGTTCATGATATACAGAAAAACCTTTAGGCTGAACTTAAAATATCTAAGGAGGCAGCTCTAGGCTAAACTTGATTTAACACACTTCTCCGCCTTTTTACTGGATAAGAAACCCAACGGCAGCAATAGCAATGCTAAACAGAAACCCCCCGCTTCCCTCCCTTGGTGTTGGGGAAAGGGGCAGGCAATGGAGGGGTACCAGACCTTCTGGTTTTAAAGAAATATGAATTTTCATTTTTAAAGGGCTAGCTTTTACATGGTGATAACTAATTCAAATCTGTGCAAACAAAACAAATTATATCCATGAGGAACATGGGGTGGAGGAACATGCGGGGACCCTATGGGAAGAATCTGATGCCTTCCAAGGTTAATCTGATCAGTGAGTTATGTCTAAAACTGTATTTCTGTAGGTAAACAGGGAAGGATGCTGGCCCAGTAGCAAGTACTCCAGGGGCTCGGCTTTCTCAGTGAGGGGCCCACCCTGGAAACAAAGTGCCCGGCCTCCCATCTCTACAACTGACTTTGAGACCCAATGTTAACTTAATCAAGAAAGGAAAGCTACTAGGAAGGTCTCGTGGCTGTGAAAGCCCCTGCGAGGGGCCCTGATATCTCCCAGTATCATGACTCAACAGTGCCCCAAAGCAGCTCAGCACCCCTGAAACCTCAAACATGGATATGACTCGCTCACCCACAGTGACAGGCATAGCCAAGTCTGATTTAGGAAGATGTTTCAAAGCAGAGTAACTCACAACTTTCCTGGACCATCTCTAAACCAAAAACAAGTTAGGGAATCAGTTTTGCCACCTGCTGAAGGTGAACTTGCAGGTGAAGCCACTCTGAAACCTTCTCAGGTCTGAGAGGCCCCAGTGCCCCAGGAGGGCATCCCATCTGCCAGAAGGTGCCCAGAAGATGCTAACTTGT